CTTTTCTGAAAATTCTGCATTGTGCCTACACCAATATGGTGTTGTCCTTTTGCAGTTTTGCACTGTCCTGATTCCAGAGAAATAATCCTGAGACCCAGTGATGATGGGCCAGGTCTGCCTTCTCTGGAACATTCTGTGCACACAGGCCCAGGGATAAATAACATGTTCTGTTCTCTTTGCAGTCTGATGTGGACAACGATCTGGTTGGGGATTCCTGTGACACCAATCAGGACAGGTATGGTGCCTCTCCCAGCTGCACAGGGCCAGAGGAAACATCTGGAGAGTTTCATCCTTCAGAGCTTTCTGCTACTTTGGGATCTCTCTGGGTCGATGGAGCTGCCAGTGGGACAGTAGCCCTGACCCTGGTCAGGGTCACCTCACCTCCTTGAAAGTTCTGGATTGCGGGGGGGGGGGGGGGGGTATCAGGAGTGCCACTAGGCACTCTAGCAAGGGAAAGTTTATTACGGGAGAGGCAGTCTAGTATCATACTTCAGAGATGGGCTCCAGAGTGACACAGCTGGATATAATCCCAACCCTTCACTTACAAACTTAGGCAAGTTACCTAATCTCTTGTACCCCAATTTTCTCATCTATACTAGTAAAATGGGGATGACAATAGCATGTAGCTCATAGGACTACTATGATGATTACTTTGCGAAAAGTGCACATTACAGTTTCTGTTACATAGATAGCACTCAATAGATATTAGTTCTTCTATTATATTCTCTCGGCTCTGGAGAGCTTCACCCACATCCCAAAATAGAAAGCTGTCTGTTTGCTGCGGGACCACTGTGTTTGTTTGTTGTTGTTGTTTTCATCGCCCTTGGAATTTTTAATTCCACTTCCCTTATTTGAGTGGAACTATTCACTGTAGATGAATTTTGTCAACCCTGCTGGCCCCACATGGTTTGAGTTCTAGGTCAAGGGCTGGAGCAGATACTGCAGAAACATCACCAAAAATGCAGACATGTGCAGCTCTGCCCTAGCGGCTCCTGCAGAAGCAGGCTCTAACCCCTCCCATCTCCACGGGGAAGCATGGCACAGGCGGCAGGGCAGGGAGAGGACTCCAAAAGGCAGAGCAGGAGGAAACATAGCTTCCCTTCTCAACCTCTCCCCAGAGGTGGCCCTACAGGTGGACCTTGCTCGGGGTCAATTCCTGTAAAGTCTCATCTTCGCCCTGTGCTCAGTGTCCTTGCTGCACAGCACACACTGGCTACCAGAACTTAAACGTACTGCTCAGTCTCTGAGTCTCAACTTCTCCATCTGCAAAGGAGAGATAATTGTCTCTTGAAGGTTATGGTGAAATGAGAGAATGTAGGTAAAGCTCCCGACACAGTGCTGGTCCTCAGGTGCCCTGCGGAAAAGGTGGCTGTTGTTATCACAGCACGAGGAGAGGCAAGTCAGAGACAGCCTGACATAGGACGTGTCCGCTTTTGGGTGGAAGGTGGAACTGGTACCCTGATAACTTCCCTAAATGATGTCAAGAATGTTCCCTGTTGCAGGTCATCCTGCACTCTGAGTGCCATCTAAATAATTTCTAGAATATCCTGTCCCACCAGCCTCTAGATATTTGCATAAACTAAATGACTCATTCTGCTACATTTTAATCCCCACAATTCTGAACCTTGGGGAGGAGGCTAGGAACATTTTTGCATGAAAATGTTCGGGGCTACATAGAATGGCTGCTAATGGAAATAGTCTGTCTTATGATTTTAAAAGCAGCCCTGCTACCTGCACAGGAATTCCACCATGTGAGCTCCATGTGAGCTGTGTCATCTCCTGCTTGCCCAGGTTGGCCTCACTTTCTTTGGGTCTCAGCTGGGAAGCCTGGCCTGAAGGCCATAGACTGGTCCCTGGCTTCCCTCCCCTGTCCCATCCTGGACGAGATAGGGACAGTTCCCAGCCCAAGACAGGCCCTGGGTGGAGCCAGGTGAAAGGAGTTATGTGCTCTGATCCAGGATAGCCATGGGGTGTCTGTCAAGCAGGGAAAGCTCTGGGGACAGGGCACTAGGCCTGGAAGGGAGATCAGGTGGGCAGAGAGAGAGGACTCTGAGAAGTGCTGTAGACCAGGACTGAGCCGAGCCCCATGCTCCCCTCTCAGGAAGGGGCTCCCTATTTCCTTTGCCATTCACATCTGATCCTTCTTGGGTCTACTGGCCAGGGACGGTGGAGAGTAATAGAAAAGAAAACATTGTAGGGCTCCCTAAGACCAAGTACTTAGAAGAGTTTTTTTCCTATATTAAAATTGAATATGCAAAATTCTAATCATTTAATCTTCATAACAGCCTTATGAAGGAGGCTCTGTTATTATTCCCATTTTACAGATGAGGCACTGAGCCATAGAGGGGTCCAGTACCCTGCTTGGGGCCCACATGCTGCTAAGGAGCTGAGCAGTCTGGGAGCTGACCACCCCTCACTCTGTTCCCTTGGCACATTCTCTCAGTCCTGGATCAGCTAGTAGCCTCCAGGAACTGATAGGAGCATCTCAGCACAAGATCACAAACTTGACCCTTATTTCTTGCCTAGGAAGTGATCTATTATTTATCAGGTGGAGGAGGTGGGAAATGGTCTCTGAGGCCTACAGGCAGCCTTATCTAAGGACACATGTGTCTGGTCAAAGACCAGGCCTGGCTAAAACCCCCAACCCAGACTCTCCCTCCTGACAGCTGGACCCTCGCTGCCCTGTGACTCCAACTGCCTTTCTTTCCTCCCACAGTGACGGAGACGGGCACCAGGACAGCACAGACAACTGCCCCACCGTCATTAACAGTTCCCAGCTGGACACTGATAAGGATGGAATCGGTGACGAGTGTGATGATGATGATGACAATGACGGCATTCCAGACCTGGTGCCCCCTGGACCGGACAACTGCCGGCTGGTCCCCAACCCAGCCCAGGAGGACAGCAACAGTAAGTGGGCTCAGCCCAGGACTGCATGGGACTCTGGGCTCCCTTCGGCCAGGCACAAGGTGGCACACCTCTCCCAGGGCACCAGCTTCTCTGAGTAGCCACAGCTTGTGTGGACAGTAGACGTCTGGTAGATACCATTCTCCAACTGTCAGAGAAAAGCTGCTATGCAATTCTGAGGAGCCCTAGGAGGAGAGCACGTGGGCAGGGAGCAGCCACATGCTCCCGCTCAAGGAGCCTGGAAAGCTGCTCCGCCATCTCACTCCCCTCGCCGGGAGTCACAGAAAAGGAGGAGAGAGAGAAGGCACAGCAGCCAGTGGCTTAGGTGGGGGTCACAAACTCAGATGTCTGCAAGGGCCAAGCCAATAAGGAAAGGTGTGCACTAAGCCAGAAATGAGACAGCGGTGAGGACTGTGGTGAGCCGTGAGGGCCCACCCATCCACAGCCATGCAGATTCCTATATTTTAGTACCATCAGCTGAACAAAACATACTATGGGCCAGATTCAGCCTCAGAACCACCATGGTCTTAGAGATAAATTTTGGTGACGATTTTCATGCTTTTTATACGTTATAGTGTAGAGAGTTGTGTAGTAAGTTCTATAGGCATTTGCTTATGTAGGGTCAGGCTTAAGACCCACCAGGTGGTGAACCCCACTGTTTCAGAGGACACCCGGGGTTTCTTGTGAGGCCAATTTTGATCAGTTCCCCTTCACAGAGTCCCCAGGCAGTTCTTTTGGTCACATACAGTGGGTTCACCAGCCCAGCACCAGGACTGCAGGGTGGGCCGGGGCAGGCTCAGACGTGGCTGATGTCAAGGCCTCCTTTCCCACTGGGTTGAAAGCCCTGTCCTGGGGTGGACCTTGGGCTCGCTTCTGTTCCTTGTCCAGCCCCCCTTCTCTTCAGGAGTGATGGTGGGTGCAGGCCTTACAAGTTCCCCTCCCCCTCTTCCAACCCGCTCAGGTGACGGCGTGGGAGACCTCTGTGAGTCAGACTTTGACCAGGACAAGGTCATCGATCGGATTGACGTCTGCCCGGAGAATGCTGAGGTCACCCTGACCGACTTCAGGGCCTACCAGACCGTGGTCCTGGACCCTGAAGGGGACGCCCAGATCGATCCCAACTGGGTGGTCCTGAACCAGGTGGGTCACATGGTTGCCAATGTCTCAGCTTTGCCTGAACACAGACACAGGCCCCCTGAGAGTAGTAAGTAATGTTCAGAGAGTGCTGTGAGCCAGGCACATTCCACGTCACAGTTACTCCTCACAGTAGCCCTATGACAGAGCGCTTTCACTAGCCCCATTGTACAGATGATGAGATCAAGGCTTGTAAAGCTTGATCGCTCGTGGTAGCACTGCAGGTAAGAGGCTGAGATTGCTGAATGGGGACCCAGGCAGTCTGACCCCACAGCCAAGCTCCTAATTTCTCCAGGAGACTGCCTCCCCGTGTAACTAAGAAGGAAGGCACATGGAGGCTTAGATTTTCCAACACCACCCAGCAAGACATTCATTAGAAGTGTATGTTCTCCAATTAAGGCTTTATTGAGTCAGCTTAAGTGACAGTTTTAGCAAAATTATTTCTATTCGGCTTTGAGCCCAAACAAGGAAGAACAACCCCTCAGATAATGCAATCTTTACATGGGGGTCAGACGTCGCTGACCGCTGCTCACCCACGATGCCTGAGGTTCGGGGCTCACTCTGCCCCTTTGAAGAATGCTCCTCACTCCTTCAACTCTCTCCGCAGGGCATGGAGATTGTGCAGACCATGAACAGCGACCCTGGGCTGGCAGTCGGTATGTCCAGGGCCTTCAGTACCACTTGTGTAGAATTCATTCTTCCCAGCTACCCGTGTGGCTTTGTCTGCTTTTCTAATTATATTCTGATCTCTACAGGATACACGGCTTTTAATGGAGTTGACTTCGAAGGGACCTTCCACGTCAATACCCAGACGGATGATGACTATGCCGGCTTCATCTTTGGTTACCAGGACAGCTCCAGCTTCTACGTGGTCATGTGGAAGCAGACAGAGCAGACGTACTGGCAGGCCACCCCGTTCCGGGCTGTTGCAGAACCTGGCATTCAGCTTAAGGTATGGGTGAAGTCACTCATCTCAATCCTGTGCCCTCGCCCTCTTAAATTCCATCGTCTCCCATGTGGCAATGGTTGCATTCTTGCTAGTGTTCAAGTCAGAGAATAGTAGAGTCCACCTGGGTCCTTGCCTTCATTCCTATGTACAAGCTACCTTCTAACTTCTGGGTGGCTCTAGCAGTGAGACCATCAGTCCTAGTAGGATCCAAGAGGTGGAGAAGATTTGGGGGTACATCTCAGGCACACTGTTGGAAGCTGTTTCCTCGATGGGGCCAACTTTATACAGGAGGGCTGAGAGCTGCCTCTCCCTCCTGCTGGAGAAAAGACATATTTCAGAACCTTCTTGGAGCAAATGTGGGGAGCAATGGATGTATAGCAGGAAAAATATGGGATGAGTTAGTGGAATATTAGCCAGTGCTGGTTATTAAAGGGCTAGGATCACCTCAGTATAAATGGCATCTTCAGAATTTATGCTTTTGTCCAAATCCAAGGCAGCCAGATTGTAACCATGAACTAACTCCCTGCCTCATCACCACCCCACAGATCCAGGGAGGGTGGCCTGTGTGTTCTGTTCTAAAACCCTGCTCCTGTCATTGTCCAGGCTGTTAAGTCTCAGACAGGTCCAGGGGAGCATCTCCGAAACTCCCTGTGGCACACTGGGGACACCAGCGACCAGGTCAGGCTGCTGTGGAAGGACTCCAGGAACGTGGGCTGGAAGGACAAGGTGTCCTACCGCTGGTTCCTGCAGCACAGGCCCCAGGTGGGCTACATCAGGTAGGCGGACGACCCATCTCACCTTGCGCCGGACGCAAAGCACACCCTCATTCTGCATCGCAGGCCAGTGTTTCTGAGACCTTGGGCTATGGCTCACAAAGAGAGGGGGGAGGAAGACTCAGGCTGACCCGTGTGGCTGAGTCTCCATCCACACCTCCCGTGATGCCCTGTGTGATCACTTACTCGTGAATATTTCACACTGCAGTGAGTCCCTTAGAGTCTGTCTTTCCTCCTGGACATAAGCTCCACGAGGGCTGTGCCTGTGTCTTATTTCATCTTAGTCTACCAGCACCTGGCACTGTGCCTGGCATGTTCCACACGCAGCATGCACCAGTCTTCATGTAAGTCAATGTAATCTGCCTTATTTCCCTATAGGGCTATTTTTAAAACAAACTAAAAACTATTCTCAGAAGCTAGGATGGCTTAGGACTATAGCTGTGGAATTTAGTGTACTCACTTTCTCGTTCCTCCAGCTTATGCAGTGTGTTTACGAAGCGGCATGGATTACAGTCTCCTGATATGGCAGCCTAGTGGGGAAAAGGAAATCATGAGGCTAATTCGAGACCTCACATAGAATGTACTCTTTGTCTCACAGTAACATGGTCTTGTTCTCAGCCCTGTTAAGTCCAAGTCCCCTTTTTTATAACACATTTTTAATCCCCTCTTCTGTCTCAAATGGAATCATAGAAAACATAACCTGAACATATAGTTTTAGAAAATCAATTTGATCCCTAACAATAGAGAAACACTTTAATACTTTATAACCAAATCATGTAAATGCTTGCACCCATCCCTAGAATCACTGTGAAGGTAGCATAGTATAACATAGGTGTATAGTATAGTGGTTAGACATTTCTATAATTTACGAAGGGAGCTCCCCATAAGCCTAGTACCCAATTGACACCATACATGGTTATTACAATATTATTGACGATATTCCCTATTTTGTACTTTACATCCTTGTGACTAGTATTTTGTAACTGTAACTACTCTCCACCTTGGATCTATACTTCTTAATCCCTTCGTCTTTTTGTCCCGCAACCATCAGTTTATTCTGTATCCATGAGTTTGGTTTTTTGCTTGTTTTTTTAAATATATTTTTATTGATTTCAGAGAGGAAGGGAGAAGGAGAGAAACATCAATGATGAGAGAATCATTGATCGGCTGCTTCCTGCATGCCCCTTACTGGGGATTGAGCCTGCAATCTGGGCATGTGCCCTTGACCAGAATCAAGCCCGGGACCCTTCAGTCCACAGGCCGACGCTCTATCCACTGAGCCAAACCAGCTAGGGCCATGAGTTTGTTTTTGAACAGCTTTTTTTTACTCAACAGTTTCTCAACTTACCCTGGAAAATTCAGTGCACACAGGGCAGGCAAAAAGTAGGTTTACACTTGTGAGTGCACAAAACAGTTTATTCTTGTATTATTAATTATTAGTAACTGTAAACCAACTTTTGCCCATCCCTGTATCAAAACAGGGCAGAGAATACATGTTCACAAGTAAAAGGGAGTTAGAATCTAGGCCCTGGTAATGATTAAACAGGCTCCTCACCTACCTACGTGTCCTCTAGAATGAAGGACAAGTGTTGATTGCTCTCTCCAGGGCCTTGTAAGCCACCCAGCAACCCTGGCTTCATTAATGCCACAGTGACAGCCAAATTTCTAAAGCCCTGCTGTAGGGAGTATCACTCCTAATGAAAGTCATTGCTCTGAGGTGCCACCAAAGAAATAAATCAGACCTAAGGAAAAGCAGCTTTTCTTAGGCATGGCAACTAGCCAAGGTAACTCTCAGAACAATGAAGCCACAGAACTTCTTGGTCCTGGGTCATATTGTGGTTTCTCTGTAACTGACTAACAAGTATCCATCGAGTGGGACTCTGTGCCCAGTGTCTTGTTAGGCCTTTGGAGACACAAGTTGGGAAGACGTGGTCCCTGACCTCCTGGAGCTTCCCATCTAGTAGGGAAGGGGGAACAGCTAGGGCACAATCCAGGTCTGTGAAAAACAGAATAGGAAACAGAGTGAAGATGCGCCTGTCCAAGAAGAGGGGGCCCCGGCCTCAGGATGGGCACGTCACCTCACCTTGGTTTGAGCCTCATGGGTCTGCTCGGGCTGTGTTGTCCACAGGGTGCGATTCTATGAAGGCTCCGAGTTGGTGGCTGACTCTGGAGTCACCATAGACACCACCATGCGAGGAGGCCGGCTCGGCGTCTTCTGCTTCTCCCAAGAAAACATCATTTGGTCCAACCTTAAGTATCGCTGCAATGGTAACGTACATTCTTGTTACTGCACAGTATCACTAGAAGTAATCAATTAATGCCACCTCATTTTTATAGCACACTTTCCTCCCAGAAGCCCAGTGTTTACGCCACATATTCATTAAAACCTGGTCGTCCCTGTAACTGAAGTAAAAGGTAGATCTCATTTTTCCTATTTGATAGATGAGGACATTGAGACCCATGGAATTTAACTTCTTGGCATAGGGTTTGAGGTTTGATTTTCAGGCAGCCTTTATTTGCATACAGCTCAAACATAATCAGACTCAGCATTTATACTCTGCCTGCTGATTTTCTTTCGGCCTGTGAATGAGCCCTCCTGGGCTTCCAGGCAATGATCCCCCAAGCAGCCTAAAGTAGGAAATGGCTGCTGGGCCTGCTGGGCAGGCTGACAGTGCCCCCTACAGGCCGCCTGCGCTGGGTGAGGTGGGGCAGCATTCCTGTGTAAGGACCCTCTCTAACCCCCTGTGCCTGTTTTTGTTCGCAGACACCATCCCAGAGGACTTCCAAGAGTTCCAAACCCAGAATTTCGATCGCCTGGATAAGTAAACCCAAGGAGCTATTCATAACTGCTTTTCTAAACACTAAAGCCATATTTTTTTTAACTTCCTACAACTTTCTTTATATACACTGTGGCTTTCTTTTACCTCCCCAAATGTATCAAACTTTTTATATGAATGTAGCAATAAAGAAGAGATGATTTCTAAGAACTGTGTTACTCAAATATCACTTACACACCATCAAAGCCTGGGCCACAGCTGTGTTGTCCTGAGGCATCCACGTTGAACCTGCAGGGGGATCTTTGTTCCTCAGACCAGGTCAGTCAACAAGAATGAGCATGTGCGGGAAACAAGGCCAGGGCCAAAGGTCTCATCTTCGGTCACTCCAGTTGGCATCACACAAAAACCTAACAGTTCCATGCTCACCTCAGCAGCCTCCTTACCCGGAAACGTGTTCAGAGGCACCTTCCCTATGAAGATTCTTCCTGACCAGTCCTGGGGCCTAATTCTTTCTGATACCCTCCTCCATACACACCTCCACAGCGACTTCTATCCCCGCACGGGCAACAGTTATGCTTATTTATATGTATATTTGGCTCCCCCTAGTGGGACATAAGCTTATTGAGCAAAAAGGACAATCAGACACAAATGCCTTACAGTATAGCCATCCTTTGGTATCCACTGGGGATTGATTTCAGGACTCCCTGTAGATTCCCAAATCTGCAGATGCTCAAGTCCCTTAAATAAAATTGCAAAATATTTGCATAATGTAAATCATCTCTATATTACTTATAATACCTAATGCAACGTAAATAGTTGTTATACTGTATTAAGGATTAATGACAAGAAAAAATGCCTACATGTTCAATACAGACCCAACCATCATAGACCTAACTACATAGGACACATCAGCAACAATGTAACTCTCCTTCCTCCCTCCTCCTCCCACCTCCTCCCCC